AAAACCAAGGTGATCACTCACCAAAGACACGAGACAGGACTGCTTGCAGAGTCATTTTACAGGACACGAGGGCTGGTCATAAACCAGCTGGTGGCTGCCACGTTATGGTACTGGCTGCTCACTTTGGTCCCAACCCCCGGCTTTGTCAAACCATTCACAAAAGGCTCATAGCGTTTTTCTGGGACAAAAAGCAACACTGGGTCCCTGCTGCAGTTCAGATGGGGGTCAGGCATTGGTGTGCCTCCACACCTGGGTAGTGACTTTCTGCCTTCAGACTCTGCAGTGACACCTTTACATTGACCCTCCTCCAAGTTGTTGCGCCCTGATGACGTAGTTTTTCTGTCAGGTGCACAACCTCAATACTGACATGCAGTTCCTGTTCACAGAATAGTCTCGCCCTTGGATCTTCTCCCAAGAATTGCCTGTCTTTTACTTGGGACTTCTGTCTGGGACACGGTTGGCTCATGTTGGAGTGCTACTCCTGTAGGAGTGGCAGCTATTGTGAGGGAGCCACTGCTCAGGAACGAGTTCCTTTGTCAGCATGCTCTCTGCTGGCTGAAGTAGGGGAGGGCTTGGGATGCTGGGCTGACCAGGGTCAGGGATGTGTTAGATGGTGGAGGAGTGGGCTGGATGACACTGCTGCAGCTGGCCGAGAGGGTTCGCAGCCTGACCCACAACGTGCTCAGCCCTGATGCCCTACGTAAGATCCAGACGGCTCAGGCGTGTGTGCAGTGGGCTCCCGGACGAACTGACTCCTGTCTGTTCGGAACCCGACATTAGGCCTGCGCAAGCGACCCTTCCCCATGATGTGGTACCTCACAATCAGAGCTGTCTTTCAGAAATCACTGCACAGAGGCATTTCCTGTACTGGCTGCTGTTGCACACTCTCCACTTCTGCACCTTCGTCTGTCACTCAGAGACTGTTTTGCCCTCCAGCTGCAGAGATCCCCAGTGGAGGGCCATTTACAAAGAGGTCCTTCCCTTTTCCTCTGGGGATCTGGGGTGGAGAGTGCTGCATGTGGCAGTCCTGTACACCATAGGATAAGTAAGTCTACTGGATACCAGGCGACGTGTAATTTTTGTGGCAAATAAGAGTCAGTGCTTGACATCAGTGTAGAATGTTTCCGTTTGCAACTCCTTTTTAGTTTTTGAAGGGGTTGCTTCTTCAATTTTGGTTGCACTTCAGTCCCATGCTCCTGATCTACGGACACCTGGTGCAGGCTGACAAGTTGATGGGCCTTCTCCCGGGTCTGGCCAAGGTTTCCCCCATTCCTGATGGGGTGCCCCTCTTTCACACTTACATTTGAACTGGGGAGTTGCTGAAGAGAGAGCAGTGCTCTCTCTTTAGAGACCATTGGGCACTACAAAGGCTGGATTGTGTTATCAGCCCAGGCAGCATTGAATCACAGGTTGACAGGGTGGTGAAGGCAGCATATCGCATGCTTGCCTTCATTTGTCAGTGCATTGAGTATAGGGGTTGGGAATGTCATGTTGTGACTGTACCAGACATTGGTAAGGCCACTTCTAGAGTTTTGCGCACAACTCTAGTTGCCCTTCTACTGGAAAGATGTTGTTAGACTTGAAAAGTTTCAGCAAAGATTTACAAGGATGTTGCTGGGACTGGGAGGTTTGAGTCATAGGGAGAGGCTGAAGGAGCTGGGGCTTTTTTCACTGGACTGATGACAGCTGAGGTGCGACCTTATAGGGGCTTATCAAATCATGAGGGGCATGAATAGGGTGAATAGTCAAACTTTTTCCAAGGGTAGGGGAGTCCAAAATTAGAGGGCATAGGGTTTAAGGCAAGAGGGAAAGATTTACAAGGTACCTGAGGGGCAACTTTTTCACACAGAGGGTGGTTCGTGTATGGAATGAGCGGCCAGAGAAAGTGGAGGAGGCTGGTACAATTACAACATTTAAAAGGCATCTGATGGGTATATGAATAGGAAGAGCTGAGAGGGATATGGCCAAATGCTGGCAAATGAGTAAGCCCTCCAGATTGGGATCCCTGGTCGGCACAGATAAGTTGGACCAAAGGATCTGTTTCTGTGCTTTATGACTCTATGGGTTTATAGCATTATTTTAATATAGTTAAGTTTCTGTTTCGTTCTGTAAGTTTCCATTTGACTGTTAATTTATGTTCAGTTGCAAATCGATGCCCAGTTTCATTATTATTATTTTGGACTTCCAGTTTTCATAAAAGAAATAGAACATAGAACAGTACAGCTCAGTACAGGCCCTTCGGCCCACGATGTTGTGCCGAACTTTTACCCGAAACCTAAGGTCTATCTAACCTCCACCACTAACTTATACTATCATCCATATGCCTATCTAATTGCCGCTTAAATGCCCCTAATGAGGCTGACTCCACTACCCTCTCCAGCAATGCATTCCACGCCCTTACCACTCTCTGAGTGTCTCCCCTATATCTACCTCCACTCACTTTAAAACTATGCCCCCTCATAATAGCTACCTCTACCCTAGGAAAAAGTCTCTGGCTGTCCACTCTATCTATACCTCTGATCATTTTGTACATCTCTATCAAGTCAGCTTTCATCCTTCATCGTTCTAAAGAGAAAAGCCCTAGCTCTCTCAACCTTTCCTCCTAAGACGTTCCCTCCATTCCAGGCAACATCATGGTAAATCTCCTCTGCATCTTTTCCAACGCTTCCACATCTTTCCTGTGGAGAGGTGACCGAACTGGACACAATAATCCAGATGTGGCCAAACCAGGGTTTTGTATAACTGGAGCATAACTTCACGGCTCTTGAACTCAATCCCTCTATTAATGAATGCTAACACACTATACGCCTTCTTAACAACTCTATCTACCTGGATGGCAGCTTTCAGGGAACTGTGGACATGAACCCCACGATCCCTCCGCTCCTCCACACTGCCAAGAATCTTTCCGTTAACCCTGTATTCTGCTTTCAAGTTTGTCCTACCAAAATGAACCACCGCACACTTTTCAGGGTTAAACTCCATCTGCCACTTCTCAGCCCAGCTCTGCATCCTATCAATGCCCCTTTGTGACCTAGAACAGCCCTCCGCACTATCCACAACTCGACCCACCTTCATATCGTCCGCGAACTTACTAATTCACCCTTCCACTCCTACATCCAAATCATTTACAAAAATCAAAAATAGAAGAGGACCCAGAACAGATCATTGTGATACACCACTCGTATCTGAAAATGAAGGAGTTTATTCTGCATTTAACCCTGTGCTGCCACTGTCCCAGAGTGTTTGATGGGGATGGCATCAGTGGGCCATTACGTAAAGATTACTTTTAGTTCAAAGAGTGGAGATAGCTTTACTCCATATTTAACCCTCTGCTGTTCCTGCCCCGGGAGTGTTTGATACAGATGGAACTTTATTTTGAGTTTCCTTTCAGTTTTAAGAGTAGAGGAAATGTTAGTTTCAGTTTTAAAACCGTAGAGGATGCTCTGATTTCAGTTTATCATAGAATCCCTATTTGGCCATTTGGCATGTCAAGCCAACACCGACCCTCTGAAGTCCATCCCATCCAGACCCACCCTCCTGCCTTATCCCTATAACCCTCATTTCCCATGTCTAATCCACTTAGCCTGCACATCCCTGGACATTATGTCCAATTTAGCATGGCCAATCCATGTAATCTGCACATTTTTGTGGGAGGAAACCCAAGCAGACATGGGGAGAATGTGCAAATTCTACACAGACAGTTGCCTGAAGGTGAAAGTGAACCCAGGTCCATGGCACTGTGAAGACAGCAGTGCTAACCACTGAGCCACTGTGCTGCCCTAAAACAGTACAAAGATCTTTACTCTGTATCTAAACACCTGCTTTATCTCTGCTTGTGGTGTTTTATGCGGACAGTGTTGAGGGGGCTTTACTTTCAGTTTAAAAGAGTAGGAGTATATCCTGTGTCTAGCCCTGTGCCGGGAATGTTTAATGTGGACAGTGTACAGACAGCTTCACTCATTATGTAACCCTGTGATGCCCCTGTCCTAGACATGTTTGATAGGGTCAGTATTGAGCAAGCTTTACTTTCTGTTTACTGTCAGTCTGAAAGAGTAGAGAAATCACGTGCTATTCCTGTCCTGGGGATGTTGGATTGGAAGAACATAGAGGCAACGTTACTTTGTATCTAATCCCATGTCGCCCTTGTCTTGGGAGGGCTTGGTGGAGACAGAGTCAAGGGACTTCTACTCTGTATCGAACCCTGTGCTGTAGCTGTCCTGAGAGTATTTGATGGCTGACATCTGGCGCACCCCATCACGTGAAGCACACAAGAGCCCTTGAAACCAGATGGTGCAGTCCCACTGACAAAGCTGTGGCACCGGGCCAGTGAACCAAAGCATCACCTTGGTTTCTTTCTCTACACTAGCACTGCCCAGCCTTTTGAGCCCTTCTGGGACCTTCTACCAATGTTCCATTCCCTGGCGCCTCTGCACCTGGCCCTCCCCAGGAGTTGGCACTGTCCATCGCATTGGGCTGCCTTGACTTGGGGGCTGGGGGAACCCGCGAGATGGTGTCCAAGGGCATTCCGGGGAGGAATCTTTACAAAGTGACCGGAGAGGGGTTTTGAATTTTTAAAACTGGGGACGGCAGGGGGCTATTTGACAAGCCACGTCGAGCCGACAGACAAATGCCAGCCTGGGGACTTAGGGTCCTCTCAGCTGCAAATGGGGACAAGCTCCAGCTTTTTCTGCTGGACCAAGTTCCACTCATCACACTTAATCCTGCAGCAATATCCACGATGTTGGGGGGGGGGGGAGGGGTCACAATTATGATTAAATATGATTTAAGAAAATAAAATCACAAAACCTGCTACAGTGATCTTAAAGGTGAGGGGGGGGATGCTCCACCTTTTTACCTGCCTTGGCTAATGAGATTCCCCTTCCTGTGCACCTTCTGGTGTAGGCCTCAATCACCGGTGTTTCTTACTGAGCTTACCCCTGGGTGTGAAGGTGTGTGTGTGGGGGAAGGTTATATATATCTGCATCTCCCCCTAGACTCACCTTCCTGTCGATCCGGACCTGGAAGAGCTGCCCGTCCCCCAGCGGCTCTCGGCTCATAGCCAGCCCGTGGTTGAACTCCTCGGTCGGCTTGTTACGCTTGGCCGTGCGGTTGCCGTTCAGCAACGCCACCAACTTGCCGGTCCTCAGGTGGAATTCGGCCGCCATTCCGAGCGCGGAGAGAGGGGCTTACCGCCCCCCCTCAGCCCGCTCCTGCTCCGCGACAGCCGCCTCTTCACGACAGCCTTCTCAACGGACTCCTAAAGCTGCGGGGAGTAACAGGTCCAGGGAGACCAATCTGCTTGACGGCTGCGGGGCAGCTGTGTCTAATCTGCTTTACGACAGCAGGGCCGTTTGATTTGACCCCCTATTCCCCGGAGAAAGCTGGCGCTCCGCTTTACGATCCCGTCGCGCGCCAAGGTTGTCGTCCGCTTCTCGGCGTCCGCCCCGCTTTAGGGCTGCGGGGCGGATGTGACGGAGGGTGGGAGGAGTGTGATGGCGGTGGTGGAGTGAAAAGACAGAGGGAGAGTAAAGGAGGAAAGTGGCCCGGGGCCTGGAAACAGGGAATGGTGAGGGGAAGAAAAGGAGGAGCGAATGGAGATGGGGACTTGGGGGAAGGGGATATGGGGAGATCAAGGAAGGGAAGGAATGGTGGAGAGAGGAAAAGGGTACGTGGGAGGGGAATTTGTGGAAGTGGTTGGGGTGAATGGGTAGAGCATGGAGAGGGGAGGAAGTAATGATGAGAGTGGAGGGAATGGGCACAGTTGTTGAGAATCAGGGAAGAAGAGGGAGATTTGGGGAGAGCACAACATCCTATGTGTAGCCAGTGCGTTTTGAAAGAGAATGCAATCTGTGGGAAGTCTGACCTCTTGTCCTCCTGGGGTCTAATCCAATATGGCTCTGGCTCATTCTGGGTTTGAAGCAAAACAGAATGGTATTGACTAGTTGATCCGGAGTTATTTGTTTGTGGTACGTTCTGTGTAAAGTGTGGGTTTCATTGGCTGAGCCAGCATTTACTGGTCATCCCTATTTGCCATGCAGAAAGTGGTGGTGAGATGCCACCTTAAACTGCTGCAGTCTCTGAAGTGTAGGGACAGTGCTGTTAAGGGAAAGAGATCCAGAAGTTTGACCCAGTTGCTGTGAGGAAACAGCACTATAGGTCCAAGTCAAGTGTTTGAGAGGGGAACTTTTAGGTGTTCTAGTTAGCTGTGCTACACCAGGTGGTGTTGGGAAACAGTGTGGTGACTGTAAGTTTTCCTGATTCACTCTTGCGATTCTGTAGCTCACACAAAGCTGATTATAGCTTTTTCTCACCTGTTTTAGCTTCTAGTGTCTGGCTCCTTCTGAAACAGAGACGATGCCAGCCCTACTGGAACGACCCAAGATGTCGAGCGCGATGGCGCGAGCTCTTCACCAGCACATCATGAAGGAGAGAGCACGGAAACGACAAGGTAGGGGCCCCGGGAAGGAAGTGTGAGTGTGTAGACACAATGTTTGGCAGGTAGATTAGGATGGGACAATCTGGCAAAATGCTCAACAGAAAAAGCTGCATGTTGTAATGCTTTCACTGGCTCCTTGGGATATGTGCTGTTGTTATATCGGAATGCTGAGTTGTTATTGTTATGATCTGGTAGATGTTTGAAAGGGCAGCATAAGCAGATTCAGCAGGACTTTCCAAAAGGGGAGCACACAAGAGTTTTGCAGGCATCTGGGACAAACGTGGTGGAGACCGTTGGACAAAGGAACACAGGGGAAGCCATTTGGCTCATGTCGACCTTTATGCCAATCTGGGAGATGGCGACCAATTATTCAAAGACTCTTTCTCCATGTTTTTGTGTTTCTCCCCTGGCTGGGGAGCATTCTTCCTTCTCTAAGAATTTTGTCCATTTTAATGAGATCACTGCTCATTCTTCTAAACTTGAGAATATATAGGATCTGACTCTTCAAATTCTACACATAGGACAGTTTCAGTATCCAAGGGATCAGGTTGAGATCACCTGTAGGGAATGTAGGTGCTACTTACTCAGTCATTCCTCACAGGACATTGCCCACAGCCTATTAATCAATCCAGAGAATCTTCAATCCTATGCTATCCATAAGTCAGTTAAGGCATTAACTGGATAACTCTCCCTCTCTGCCGGTCCCCTCTCCCTCTGCCTTGCCTGTCCCCTCCCTCTGCCTGTTGACCTTGCTATTGTTCTGCCTGTTCCTCCTATCCACTCCCAATCTGCCTGTTGCCTCCCCTGTTGCTCCACCTGCTCTGCCAAGCTTCCTAACTCTCTAGCTCCACCTATGTCCCCCACTACTTGTTCTATCCATCCCTGAAAGAGCTACCCAGCCAGTCCCATTCTCCAGAGCTCTCCATCTCCACCTCCACCACTCTCCCAGGCAGCTCATTCTAAATCCTAACAACACTGAATAAAGATGTTTCTCCTCATCTCACTCCTAGCCTTCTTGCTGACAATCTTGAAACTGTTGTTACTGACATACCAACCAGTGGAAACAGAATATGCTTCTTTATCCTGTCAAAATTATTCATAAATTTTAACACTTCAATAAAGTCATATCTTAATCTTCTCTGCTCCAAGCAGAATAAGCCCGATTTCTCTAATCTTTTCTTGTATCTAAAATTCCTAATTCCAGGTATCATTCTAGCAAATCTCCTTTGCACTCTCTCCAGGGCTTTAACGTCCTTCTGTAAATAAGGTGCCCAGGACTAAGCACAGTCCTCTTCATTTGGTCTGACCAATGATTGGTAGAGGTGTAGCATCTGTTCCTTCCTTTTCTCCACTATGCTTCTGTTTATAAAGTCAAGAATCCTATAAGCCTTTGTAACAACTGCTCCAAATTGCCTGGCCATCTTCAGAGAATTATGCATGTGAACCCCGAGGTCCCTTTGCTCCTGTATTCCCCTCAAAGTTGTACCATTGAGCCAGTACTGTCTCACCCTGTTTCGTCTGCCAAAGTGCATTACCTTACATTACTCTGCATTGAAATTCAGGTATTTGCACATTTGGAAAACTTGCCAATATCTCTGCGAAGCCACTCAATGTCATCCTCTAATTCACTATTCTACCTCGCTTAGTATCATGTGCAAATTTAGAGATTTTGCCCTCAACACCCATCTCCAAATTGTTCTTCTAAATCAGAAAAAGCAAGGGTCCCAACACTGATCCCTGAGATACATCACTTTCAACTTGTCTCCAATCTGAGATATGCCCACTTTACCCTCTTGCTCTTATCTTTTAGCTAAATTCTAATCCATGCTGCAAGGATCCATCAATACCAAACATTTCTAATTTGCTAACCATCCTGGCATGTGGCACCATATCAAATACTCTCTAATGTCCAAATATTCAACATCCACAGCACCGCCCTCATCTGCTGCCTGGATCACCTTGTCAAAGAAATCAATTAAATTTGTCAGACATGACATGCTATTGACAAAGCCATGTTCACTGTCAAATATTAACTTGCTTTTCTTTAAGTGTAAAACAGTCCTAAAACAGTGGCCCCTAATCACAAGAGGAGACATTTTTTCCATGTTCTCCTTGTCAAAACCATTCAGGATCTTGTATCTTTCAATCAAGTCACTCCTCACTCTGCTAAACTCCAGTGGAAACAAGACCAGCCCATCTAACCAATCCTCGTAAAACAACTTGGTCCAGCTCTCGAGAGTAAATCTCCACTGAACAGTCTCCAATGCATTTACATCCTTCCTTAAATAAGGAGACCAAAACTGAATGCAGTATTTGAGATGTGGTCTCACCAATGCCCTGTTTAACAGAAGCGTAACATTCTAATTTTTATATTGAATTTCCCTGGTAATAAAGCATAGCATTCCATAAGCTTTATCGGTTACACGTTGTACCTAGATACTAATGTTTTGTGACTTCTGGACTAAAATACCGAGATATATCTACCTGTCCAGAGTTCTAAAGTTATTTTCTGTTGAGCAGCATGGCACGGTGGCTCATTGGCTAGCATTGCTGTCTTCACAGCGGCAGGGACCTGGGTTCGATTCCACCCTTGGGCGACTGTCTGTACTGAGTTTCCGCATTCTCCCCTTGTCAGTGTGCGTTTCCTCTGGGTGTTCCGGTTTCCTCCCACAGTCCAAAGATGTGCAGGTTTAGTGTATTGGCCATGCTAAATTTCCCACAGCCTGCACATTCGCGGACACTAAGTGGATTAGTCATGGGAAATGCAGGTCTATCGGGATAGGAGCATGGGTCTGGGTGCTCTTTGGAGGGTTGGTGTGGACTCGATGGGCTGAATGGCCTACTTCCACACTGTAGGGATTCTATTAATACTCTGCCTTTTGATTCTTCCAGTGTCACAACCTTGATGGAAAGAGGTCATTGGAAATTAAGTGCCTGTATTCCACAAGTTTTAGGATTACCAATTTAATCTCTAGGATGGTTAATATCTGACTGTGATCACCGTCTAAGAGAAAAGCAGCTCACACCAGGTTTTATTAATGAACGAGAAACCAAAAACTATTTATTATACTAAGCTTATTCTCTAATGTGTGACGAAAACAGATTATTAATTACTAATGTGCAAATTTAAGCTGAAGCCCTTGAAATCCAAACACACACGTTGATAAACGGCAAGGACAATGCAAACAGTTTTTCAGGAATATTGTCAGGGGATAATAGGCAAAAACAAACAATGTCTGTGGATCATGAGTCCAAACGCTGGAGTAAGTGTGGTGACTTTTTCATTGTTCTTTGATTTTTGGTGTTGTATTGTTGTTGACTTTGGCAAACCTCAAGTCAGTGACTCGTCATTTGGGCTTTGGCCTTGCTTAAGTTCTCTCTTTACAAAGTCTTTTCAGTGTTAGTTCGTTTCTATTCAGAGCGAGGGTGGGCGAGCACAATCTGGTTTGCTGAGGGTTTTTGGAGTCATGGCAGCCCAACTGTTCTCTCTCCCCTCAGTTCTGTGATGAACTTCTGCTTACAACCAATCCAAAAGCTGTTGCTTGCCAGTTTCTGTTTTTCCAATCTAAGGATCTTGGTGCCAGCATGTATCTCATAAGTATCAAATCCAACTTCTCTCAAAAGTTATAAATGCTTGTGTGGTCTATGACTGAACAGCACACAGTCCAACTTTTGTTTCCAGTTATAAAGATAAAATTTAGTTTGCTGGTTTATATTTCCAAATAAAATATGTAGTCCCTATGCCTGCCAAAGTGAACAACTCACATTTGACCACATTGCACTGAACGTACAAGACCTTTGCCAATGGGCTCAATCTTTCTCTGTCTGTCTGCAAACTCCTCCTTCATAGCATACTTTCCTACCTACCATAGTGTCATTTCTGAATTTAGCAACTCCGCCTTCACTTCTCTCATTGATATATA